CAGAGGCTCCACAGCTGCACTGCTTGATTGGCAGGTTTGTCTCAGACAGACACTCACCTGCGTTTCAAGGACTTTCATGCGAGTTAGCAGCCACTGCTAATGAACGAATCCAAAGCTGTCGTGTGTTTGTTAAAATTTCCTCCCACCCACGTTTAATCAATGCACTTTCCTCCACACACTTCAAGTGGTTCCGCTAATGAGGGACTCAACACGCCCGGTGTGCTCTGCACAGTATTTCTGTATCTGCATCCATGACAAAAGTGTCAGAAGTCAACATGCTATTGTCTCCAACAGGAGCTGCTAACCAGCGTGATCGACACTCAACAGCTCAACAAATCAACATGCAATTATCATTTTAATGAGCTTTTTCTGCTTATTACAAATAAGGCAGTGTCGCACACACAAATATGAATTCTACCATTACATGTGGCTGATCAGCCTGCAGATATCCATCTCTTCCCTCCACTCCTCTGGAGGCCGAGGCTGCAGCTTCAAAATACCTCCAATATCCACTCCTGCTGCTCCGAACAGATCTTGTGATATGCAGAAAGTTTCAGTGTGAACCGAGAGGGACTGAGCAGCAGAGATGGAAATCGTTTTTTATCTCCACTACTTCAAGCTTTTAATCAACATTTCCTCTCAGTTACATCCGCTACCTCACCTTGTCTCCGGACTTCAGGGAGACGTCCAAGTTTATGAAGTTCCAGAAACATAATTACAGTGACAGCGAGCGCTAAGCATTTTGACTGACACTGATGAGCCTTCTGCAGCAAATAACCAATTAATTTCTCGTTAATCGTGAAGGTGTTTGCCAGGACGGCAGACGTTAATTTGCTCCGAGGACAAACGTCCAATTTTGTGACATGATTCGAAGCTAAGCTGCACATGAACAGTTTACCCTCAAACTGCTGAGTCACTGAATCATTATTAAAACACAGACACAGAGGTGACTGTGCTGGTCGGCAACAGGCCCGAGGCTGCTGTTAATACTGAGTAGGGAATGCAGTCAAACTATATGAGTGGGGGGGGGGCTCTGTATGGAGCTGCAACATGGCAACATAATAAAGGACCTCTTCATCTCTTCAGTTATTGACCCGTGTTCATCTAGAGTTGTATTTTGTTTGCTTTTAAATACAGAAAATGTGCAAAAGCCACTTGTTCTCGTCTAATTACTGAATCCACAGAAACTGTCATTGAAACTTCTTCATTTCCTCTTTTCATGCTGCACTCATCACATCACATTCAGCGATACATAAGACAACAAGGTTACGAGAAGAAAGCGTCTTTCAGCTAATCTGCGTCATAAATATGAGAGTCAGCTACCCAAAGTCACAAATCAGAGCAGGTCATCAGTAACATTAGAGCACAGGGGTGAGCGATATCTGCTGCGACCTGCTTACCTTCTCATTTGACAGCAGCTTTTCATCATCAACAGTCACCAGAATAAATGTACGTTTCTGCACACCACAGATATGTCACATTTGCCTGTTACAATGGAGCTGATACGTTGGAACTTTACATTCAAACAATGCTGTGGTTAACGTGTGGGGAGGTTTAGGCCATAGACTGTAAAAATAACGGACGTAGCTATCAGGACATCCGGTTTTGAAGCCTCAAGTTCGGCATTTTGGCCGTCGCCATCTTGGTTTCTTGGAGCCAGAAGTGATCATTTTTGGGCGAGAGGCTGGAGCTGTGGAGGAGTGAAGGTGGATCTGACTGAGAGGCCACGGATACTATCAGAAGACGGCCTGTCACTCAAAGAGGCCCCTCCCCCTTAGTGATGTGTAACTTTAAGCCTTAAGGACACCCAAATTCCACCAGATGAGTGTGGGTTGCGTCTGCCCTCCAGAACGGCAGTGGAGCCGTTGATTTTCAAAATAAAATACACAGTGTTCACGGCGGATCATATTTCCCTACACTACACCTTGAAAATGTCATAATGGGTGGAGGCAGGCCTGAAGTCAACAGGTCAGAGGTTTTCAGACGTCATTTCACCCCGTTGACACCATGGACGAGGAGATGTTAATCATGGAGGTGCACCCAGATGTCTTCCTACTACTCCTCTGGTTTTGTGGTTCTGTTTATAGAAACTACATCTCGTTATATTGCGTGATTATGCGTGAATTCACGAGATCTCGTGGGTCCTTGTGACTCCCGCTGTCTGGCGGAGCTGCACCGCTCCGCACAGCAAACGCAGCCAGTGAGTGTTGATGGACGGTGGAGCACGCAGCGGATACCCAGCGCAGCCGTTCTGCAACGGACACGCATCCAGTAGAATTCTGGCGTTAAGGAAATGTAAACAGGTGAGTTATATAAAAATTCAGCCTCGAGCAGTTGTCATTGATGTTGAAATTAGCTACAGGGACCAAAACTGATTTCTGTACCAGGCTGGAACATTTTTCTGCTTTAAAGTCGGATAATTTAATATGGGGGATTGACTCGCTCTTGGAGCCAGCCTCAAGTGGACATTAGAGGAACTGCAGTTTTCCAACACTTGAGTATTGGCTTCATTTTTCAGCCCAGCAGGTTGCTGCTTGGGTTAGGCACAAAAACCACTTGGTTATGATGAACAAATGATTATGTTTTGGCTTATAATACCCAGATTTGTGCCTAAAAAGCTGCTGAAAACACAGTACCTCAGTAACACACCATCCACCATCCCCTCCACCTCCTGACGACACAGTCACCTCATACACTACGGCACTTTAGAAACTTTGATATGACAAGTCTGAAGTGTGCAAATGTAACTTATCTGTGGCTTACAGAAATGTACAATGCCAAGATATTTTCTTCTGGCGACAGAGCTTTAAAGCTTTAAAACCTGGATCGACACTCGATTTATTGTAGTGCATTAACACGCCTTCATCAGCGTTTAAACCTTTAAAAACTGAGAAACTGAGAAAATTGGTTTGATTTCTTTGGAAACACGAGAACAAAGGCAAAGAGCAATTTGGCAAGAAATGTCCCGCAAAGTGCAAGAAATTAGGAAGAGGTCACAAGAAAATGATTAAAAATGAATAATGAAATAAAATAAGAGAAAATTATTTTTAAAAACTGAGACGTCTTTAGCGTTTTTTTACTTTAACTTTTTAATTTCTTGCTAATTTTGGGTCATTTCTTCATTGCCTTTTCCACTGTTCAATCAAGTCAATTTGCTCAGGTTTCAAAGGGTTAAAAATGACAGTTTATTCCAACTTAAAACAGTGAAGTTAAGAAATCCATAGTTTTGCTTTGAAAACTGTAAAAATGTAAAATAACTATGAATGCCGTGATGTCCAACAACAAAACAAGACTTTAAATACAATTTTTAAAATGCAAATTATTTGTTCCCTGCATATTTACGGCTGCTCTGTGACCAACATTACCTCATCACAAGGTGATTCTCATTGGACAGTGTTCTCAGGAACGCACAGATATTTGGCTCGAGTAAGAGAGGCTGTTCTCTCTGACCTCTGCCCTCCCTGTGATGAATGAAGCTGATCATACAGAACGCACATAGTAGAAACAACGTGAGAGAAAAGGTGCAGAAAAAACCCCCATCATATCAGGGGCCCAGACGCCCTCACACTTCCTGCTTTGTTACGAAACCTGACTGAAACAATGTGGCAGCGCCTGAGGCTTTACCCTTTGTGCTGAAAGTAAAAACCTTTGTGAGAAACTGAGCTGAAGTGCGTCATCTCTGTGATCGCACTCGCCGAGTCGATAGTTTGTAACATGAACAAGTCGGAGTTGTCTCTCTGACGAAGTCTGCTTTCAGGCCGTGGAAGAGATTTGTTCAGGTTACTAAATATTGACAGAGCGATCAAAGATGGTGCAGTAACAACACCGTTGTCAGGTACTGTTTACTGAACAGGAAAAGCCTGCAGAGATCCATAAAACACAACTGCAATGACCTTTGGGTGAGATGTGCAAGTCAAAATATATTAACAAAATAAAAGCGGCACTGCAAAAATCAGAGCTCATGAGCATGTGATTTCTGGGATTATTGCACCAAATAAAATCCTGTATTTCTATAAAATAAATATTCTACAACAACATTTTTCCCCTAATTTCCTGTTAATTATTACTAATTATTTTACCTGCTTACTCCTCAACATCAGAGTCATCTCAATTGTCATCAAACATCTTTATCAGCACCATCAACAACAAAGCCTTCGCCCTCACAGTCATGTCTTTATCAGCATCATCTTCATCACAACAGACGTTACCGTGCATTAATTAACATCACTGTTAACATGACTCTTTATCATAATCATCATCATCTTCAACGCTCACATCAATATCAGTCACATCATCACCACAATCATCCTCATTATCTGCAGCAAAACAATCAGCACTGTATCAGCATCATTCAACATATACTTTATCATCATCTTCATCATCATCACTACTGTGTGTGAGCATCAACACTCTGGTTCTGCAGCAGATTAGCTCTGCTCACAGCTCAGAGGACGACAAGCCTCTTTGTTGGCAACTCCATGGAAAATGACAGCACACAGCTCAACTCAGTGCTTCCCCCTAGCTTCCTCTGCACAGAAGGAACCAGGGCCCAGCCACAGAGACGGAGACAGAGAGAAAGAGGAAGAGGGAAGTGAGTGATGGAGAGACTGAGATAGAGAGGATCGGTCTCAGAGGGAATGATAAGACAGAGGAAAGAGAAGGCAAAGGAGCGGCTGTGCGGAGCAGCATCAAAGAGCAACAGCGTCCTCTGAGAGGAGAAAGAGAGCAGGCAGCCACCGTGATTTAAAAAGCATTTAGGAGGTCGATACCTGGGTCATTAGCCGTGAGGAGACTTCACCAAGAGACACAACCAGCAAAACCTAAAGATTAACAATCAGCAGCGAGCGAGACAGACGTGCACACACACACACACACACACACACACACACACCAACACTGCAGCAACAACAACAAAAAGCACTGCAGTTTGAACAGGAAGCATCTCACACACACACACACACAGTCACACAGAGTAAACACGCTTCACGCGGCGTCCTTACCTTCCTGCACCGCCTGGAAAGGGTTGTTGGGCTCGATGAGTTTAATAGAGTGTGTGATCTTCTCGCTCTGCAGGATGTCATCGCTCAGACTGAGGTCAGACACGGCGAGCTGGAACACCTCATCGTCCCGCACTGCGTTCTCCTCAAATATTGCACCTGGACAGGTGGAGACAGGGAGAGGAAACACATCAGCGGGACAGCTGGGCGCTCATATCAAAACCAGCTGACATAACAGCAGGAGCGGACCCCTGTCTCCATAGCAACTCAGCTCCAGCTCCAGTCGCCTCACACAGAACTTTTGAAAAACTGTAATTTCATGGACACAACTTTATGGACATTTAGAAAATATCTGACATATTTTAACTATTAAAGCTTGACTGAAATTCAAGTGAACTGAGAGAAAACTCGACCTCTGCACCTTCTCTTGGCTGTTTTCAGACTTTAATAAATCTATTTTGGCCCTTCAGTGAAAGTCTGATTCAACGGAGGAGAATCCTGCAGAGAAAGTTGCTACTCCAGCATTGGCAACAACTGCCCACACTGCAGAGCAACACAGGTCAGCACACTTTCTAGTTGTTCTTTCACGTCTTCTGTATTCCTCTGTGTCCCCTCTTTACATGCAGACATTTTTGCAGGTCCATGAACGCAGCATAAGTGGGACTCTTCATAAGATCCATTTTTCCTCAGCAGCAGTTTGTGGAGTTTGAGTATGGGGGTGGATAATTGATCAGTAGGGTTGCAACGGTACAGCAACCATAACTTGAAACCATTTTGTTAATGTAAGTTTGTATAAAAAGTCTCCCCTCAAAAAATAATGAAAACAAAGTGACTCTTTTTTCCCCCAATATCACAGATACGCAAATAGATAACCGTCAACGTTTATATCCTGGTATAACTTAAAACCTGTACATCACAGCTGATCAGGTCAAATCAATGAATGAGAGGCGCAGCTGCTGCAGAGGTGAGGCATTTGTAGTAGAGATGAAACAAAACCAGCATCAGATGGACAGTATTCATAATCAATACGCCATCAGTCAATGAGAATGTGTGTGTGGGCAGGGCATAAGCACATACAGCCAGCAGCAGCAGCGACCCACCGTCCGACACGGACACACCGTGAGGACGGAAACAGAGGGCTCGGCAGGGACGGAGCACCTGCTGCAGCAAGCCAACACGCCGTCTGCGGCCATTTTGACTTGACCAGCGGACTTCACTACAAGCTGATTGGCTGTTGAAACAGGTGATGTGCTTTAAAACCAGCCACTGGTGATTTGACCAGCTGAGTTGCAGGTGACACCAGCTCAGATTCAGATTTTCAGCTAGGGAAAATGATTTCTGCAGCACTGTCATAGTACGCCACACAAAACTACAAAACACAGTGCAATGTCATACAAAGCCTGCAGAATAGAACCACTGCTGCACCTGGTAGGCTGAGTAACAGCCACTATTGATCAGCAGACTGATGGCCACTGGGACAACAGAGGACCTAAATCGTTTAATTGTGCCCACTGGCACTCTAAAACAACGTCCCGAGGGCAACAAGTCAAACTCCCTATGTCGGGGACGGTGGAAACAGTCAATAATGGCATTCGCCTTCCTCAGAGCCTGTTGTTGCGATATGGTCTAGCTGGGCCTGACTCGCTCCAGTGATCTTGCTTGCCACTTTAACAAGGCCATGAAGTCTGTTTTTGTTTTACAGACTCAGACTTCTGTACCATGACACCATACAAAAGGATAACACTGATTCAGTGAAACTACGATAAAACAAAATCATCATAGTCAAGCATACGTTAAAAGATTTCATCTTCCTAAAGAAGAAAAGTCGCTGTTGTACCTTGGAACAAACAGCATCTGTGTTCTCCTCAAAACACAGTTTGCTGTCAATGACTGCACCAAGATATTTATAGTTATCCACCAGATGAATATTAGTCCCCTTCACATTGGTCCAAATGGCAGCAGGGGGCGCTGTTCTAAAGTCAATGATCATGTCTTTAGTTTTGGCCACATTAAAGCCTAGTTCACATTACACGATTGTCACCATGATTTTGACGTCGCAGAGGATCTTGAGAGCCACCTTGGGTCGGAGGTGAGTCGGCAGATAGTCTGCCACGACGAGTCCTCGTGTGAACACGCCTACGAGCAAGTCGCCCCCTCGTCTGTGACTGGGACTGGATATCTGGCATGCTAGAAAACTGGAGAAGTCTGACACGACTGAGATGGAGCATCAGCCAATGAGAGGCAGGATACGTCCCACGTCAGCACGCAGGAGGACGGAAGAAATGTGAGGAGGACAAGCTGCAGGGTTGCCAGGTCCGTTTATTAGCCTCAACTTTAGGCTTGCTCTCTAAACGTCACCTTCCTCTATATATATCCGTCTAATAAGTTATTTAAATGCATGATAGTTGCTTCTTTTGGGCTTGTTTCCATAGCCCTGGTTGCTTGTTTCTCTCCCAAGATCTAGCAACACTGACAAGCCGGCCGGCAAGCAACAACAACAATGGCGGCATCCACAGGATCACGGGGAGCACGTTGTGTTTGGACCCAGGCCCTGGAGGCAGATCTGATTCAACACTGGGAAGAATATCCATGCCTTTACCATGTGTCGTCTCCAAGTTTGGTGACGTCACCGCGTTATCTGGGGCTCTGTCAGTGAGGGCTCAGTGGAGAAATCTTGTGGTGTGCACACACAGGTCGTAACGCAATTGGCGAGACTCCCGATGACAGAAACACACGTAGCCAGGTATGAACACTCAAAAGATTAAGAAAGTCTCTGAGAAGCAAAATCAGGGTGAAAATCGTGTAATGTGAACTAGGCTTAAGGTGGAGAAATGACCGACTGCGCCATGACATAGAGTCATCACCCACAGGTCCATGACCTTGTTCATGCCCCTGTAGCAGGCTAACAACCACAGAGTTGTCAGCAAATTTCAAAATGTACCTGTTGTCATAACTGCTCTGACAATTATTAGTGTACATGATGTAGAGAAGGGGGGGCAAGCAGCAGCCCTGAGGAGAAGCAGAGTAAACACCATTCACCCTCACACACTGTGACCTAACCGTTAAGAAGTCCACTATGCAGCCAACAATGTTAAGGTCCAAATTAAAAAAGGAGATGAGTTTCTCTGCGAGTAAATGTGGCTGGATAGAGTTGAATGCAGAGGAAAAATCAATAAATAAAATCTGGCATGAGCCTTCATGAGTCTCCACATGATTAAACAGGAGATGTAGTAAGTATAGAGTGGCATCCTCTACACCTCTGCCCGCTCTGTAAGCAAGTTACAGAGGGTCCGATTTGTCCTCTGTCTGACGGTGAAACTCACTTTTAATTAATTTTTCAAAGGTTTTCATGACCAAGGAGGTGAGAGCAACTGGCTGGAAATTATTCAGTACCTTTACCATCAGATGGCTTGAGAGCGGCCAGTTCACACCGCTGCAACTTTTCTCTGCTATGTTCTAAAACGGTTTCGGCTCGTCCCCAAATCTCTGGTCTGAGCTGAGCTTTAACTGCATTTCCAAACCTCGTTTTCGTTCTGTGGTTCTCAGTCGTTACAAGAAAACTCAAGAGTGCAAAATTACAAACAGGTCACCACTCACGTTCTGAACGAATCAATCATACAAAATGCACCAAAAAACATTAGACTCAAACATTATGTTTTACAAACCGGCAGCCGAGCCGTTTCTGTTACAGTGAGGCTGCTAATTAAGTCGTTCAATACCATCACAGGGAAAGGCAGGAAAAATTATCAGCAATTGTGGCAACAATTAAATTCAACCGACATTTAAAACATGCTGCGAGGTGTTCGTTTAGATGAGGAATTACTGTACACATGTACGTGCAGAAACTGTAAAGACTGGCTGACTGCAGGAAAGACAGGAGTGACATGTGAACAACACAGGGAATCAAATTACACACCCTCGTTGTGAGTGCTTCACTCTGCCTACTGAGAACTAAAGCCAACAGTAATCATACCTAAGATCTCCATGGCAACATCATCACAATGCTGAGATTAGATGATATGATCAAATTATATTACTATTATACTAATTGTATTACTTTCAAACATGTTGCAGACACCATAGTTTTAATATTAAGATATTAGAGAGGATATTATGATGTGATAGGCTGCAATAATAAAATGCATTTTCACTCCCTCTACAGCCCATACCTGCACATATTTGTGTATCATGATGTTGTTGAATATTATTTCTGACCTACACAATTCAAGTAGCATTTTAATAGGCCTAACCGTCCATATAGCAGTGAATTGTGGGTTATTAAATCAGTGAAGTCTGCTGAAGTCTGCACCCCAAGCGGACTCTCTGGAAGTCTGCAGAAAGTCCACATGAGACCCCTTGTGGACTGGCTGAATTGTGGATTTGGAGCCCTCGGCACTCCTAGACTTCCCGGGAACGTGCCCGCAAAGTCCACAAGTCTGCAGGTGCGGTGAAGTCTGGACATTTGGATTCAGCCATTGCAAGGTCAAAAAGGAAGTGGTCATACAGTCACATACAGGTGGACTGAGGTCTGGACCCAGACGCCGTTTTGCTAGTCTTTACAGCACCGGTTTGGCTGATCAGGAAACACACAGACCAACTGAGTGCAAGTTAAGCCATCCCACGTGATTCCACCCAGCCAATCAAATATCTGCATTCCAGGAGATTAACATTGTGACGGTCTACAGTCAGATGGGAGAGGTGAGAGGCGAGTGACAAGTGGAAAGACGATAGAAAAACAGAAAGGTGGAACTATAGAAAAAGAAAGAAAGCGATACAGGAAGAGAAGACAGAGAGGCGAGTGAGCGGGAGACAGGGAGAGAAGATTATTTATTGTAAAATCGGTTGAGATGTTAAAGGAGAACTAATGTTTTTTTCAACCTGGGCCCTATTTTCCGATCTGCTTTTGTCTAAATGAGTGATAGGATGTTCAATATGTGACATGTCTCCAGTATGAAGCTAGGGCTGACCTGCCTGCAGCCCGTGAGAACACGCTATATTAAATAATAGGGCAATCAGACAGCGTCAAACAACGTCAAAATACGTCCACTAAAAGTGCATTTTTTTCACACAGACAGGCTCGGATTGTTAGTATAATTATCTGACAACATAACGGAAAGGAGAAATGAACGTGTGTGTTTACCTTTAGCTGGATTCAGATT